CTTATCTCAATTAGGTTGGCATAAAATGGGTCCGATCCAACCAAACTACTTAGGACAAGAAATTAAACAGTGGTTAAAGGGTATGCCTCCTTATGCCTCCTCAATTCCGCAATTACAATTTCTTGTTTTTTTTTTTATCTCCTGTTTGCAACATCTTTACTAACTAAACCATTAGAATCCTCTCACGGACCGCCATCGATTGAATAACACTAACAGTGTATTAATTTGCAGTTGCATAATTGAGACTTCAATGTGTAGAGCCTCTCTACAGATAATGATGTGTTAGATGAAAAATTTATTATAACAGTGATACATGTTATTGTTGACACGGGATATCACTCTCAAATTATGAATTATCATGTAAGTGTAAGGTATCTCATTATGTACCTTCGTGAGTTAGTAAATTGAGTTGGACATGATTATTGTATTTAGATAGTGAAATTTATTAGGCGTTTTTTGGTAAAAAGGTTAAAAACAATTTTTTAACTTTTAATTTCTTTTAGGTCATATCACTTCTCTATTTTCTTACATGTTTTTTTTTTAAATATAAAAAATATTAAAAAATTAACTTTTAACTTATTTCTTAAAACACCCCTATATATAATATTTTATTATTTAATGATGGTACCATCGCCATTACACTCCAATTTTACTACTCTACCACAAATTTGGCCCACTGCTGGTTGGGTTCCATTGTGTCTAACATGTACAAAAATATAATAATAATATCAGTAAATTTTCTGACTTGCTTTCACTTGATTTCTTTAATTAGGTGAAGGATAGGTAGGCAAACTGACTAGGCAGTCTGCTAGTGCAAACAATGATATTATATGAAGTTCAACGTGTCCCAAACAGACCAAGAAGAAAACAAATTTGATTTCTCTCAAATTTGAATTTCTTTTTTCTTTTTTCTTTTTTCCTTCAAATATGATACTATTGAGCTTGTGAAATTATCATAAGTAGAACTTCTTTCATTTTGTAGGTTAATATTTGTTATTATTATTATTTTTTTTTATTGAGTTTCAATTTATGCATAATGAAGGTGTAACAAGTAAATTTATAGTGGAGGGTGAAATTCGCCTTCTCTCTCTAAAACTTGAAAGCTTCTCTCTCTAATTTATTCTTCTAGGATTTGCGCGGGCAATGCTTGGGGTAGGGGAGGGGAACTTCGGCCTCTGGCCTCCTCCTTCCTTCTCTTTTATTTTTCTTTATTTTTCTTTCTAATAAGTTTTGGAAGCTATGTCTTTCCATCTTCTCCCTTCTTTGTGAGATGTTCTTCTCCTTTGGTGGAATCTAGATCTATCTCCCATTTCTCCCTCTTCTCTGCCTTACCCAATCATGGCTTTCTTTGGACACACCATCTCCCTTTTCTCTTGTCTCACGTCGACGTCACCACTGCCACCAAATCTGTCATCTCTCGCTAGATTGGTTGCCTTTATGAACCCACAGCCACCAGATCTGCCATCATTCACTCGATGAGCACCCTCCTCGAACCCATCTCCACCAGATCCACTGGTATTGCTGCCAGTCCTCCACTGCCATGGCTAGGGATTAAGGTCTGGGTTTCTTTTTCTCTTGTTTTGTTGGTGTTTGGTTGTGTGATGAATCCATCGGTGCTTGATTGTGTCTTACTTTCTCTGTGGTTAAAATCTATTTTTTATGCTAGATTTGCTCCATTGTTGAACTTTTATAATCAGCATTTGCTTTGTAGTGCGAGCTTTGCGTTTGGATATTTCTATAGTTTTTCTTCTGGATATTTCTTTGTTGATTTTTACTTTATATGGTGTAAGGTAATTTGGTTGGATGGACTCATTCTGTAAGTGTAGTTTGGTTGATTTTAATAGAAATTTTCTCATGTTCAAAAAAAAAAGGAGTAAATTTATTGTGTAAATAGAATCACTCATTCTACTCGCATTAACTTTCAAAATGAATAGCTCACCAAATTGGAACCCATTGTAAGTCCCATGGACAAATAGTGGGGTGTTTTGAAAAAATGATTAAAAGTTAATTTTTTAATTTTTTTGATTTTTTTTTGTTTGTGAGAGAAGAAGTGGGTTAAAAGCTAGGAAGTAGATTTTAACCCACTTTCCAAAATACCCCAATATGTTATGTGAGAAGTTAGTAAAAAATTGATTTTTTTGATTTTTTTGTGTGAAAAATATAGAAAGGTGATGTGATAAAAAAGAGTCAAATAACTAAAAAGTTGACTTTTTACTATGTTGTCAAAACTAAATTTATTATTTTTCATTAGGAGAAAAAACATTAACCTCGCATAATTTTTATTTTAATTTTTTAGTATTTTGAAAGTCGAACTTGGAAAGGAAAGTAAGACTTGAACTTAATAAAATAATTCTAACAGGAAAAAAAATATTTCATAAGTCATTGCCAAGTATAGAAATAAGAATGGGAAATATCTATTTTTTTTATTCAAAACAAAAAAAAAAAACCTGTGAATGATTTGAATCTCACCAACTTTAACATTAATTATTTGGTCAGGTTTGAAAAGTTTAAAAAAATTTAAAAGGTCACATACAAAGTTAAAAAGTCATTCATGTGTTTGGTTTGAATTTTTTGAATTAAATTTTTTTGAAAATTGACTTTTTTAATTTTCGTATTTTTTTGTTTTTAGTGAATATTTTTTAAATTTTAAACATTTTTTTTTACTTTTTTAGATGCACCTTACTTAGATGTATCTAAAAAGTAAAAAAATTTGTAAAAAAATATAAATATTTTTTTTACTTTTTTAGATGCACCTTACTTAGATGTATCTAAAAAGTAAAAAAATTTGTAAAAAATTAATAAATACATAAAATACAAAATATGTACTGAATTCTTGTATTTTTTTTATATTTTTGGTATTTAGTGAATTTTTTAAAGATTTTTTTTACAATTTTTTGTACTTTTTAGGTGTATTTATGCTAGGTGTGTCTAAAAAGTAAAAAAATTACTTAAAATATTAAAAAAATTCTATAAAAACAAAAAAACACGAAAAATAAGAAAGTAGAATTTTCTGAACATTATTTTTTGAAAAGTGGAAACAAGCAAGGTGTTACTATTCACAAATAAAAAATATTAAAAATATATTTTATACATTTTTTTAATACAAAAGTTTGAATTACACTGTCAGCCGTATTGTCCCAGCAGGAAGGCAGGTCATACACTTTTTGGGAAAAAAAAAAAAATACATATGTAAAGCCACAAAGTTTGATGGTAATGTTGGGCCTTTGGGGGCCCATTAAGGGTTCCGTTTTGATAATTCGAACCGTAAAATATGTAGAACTCGTCGAGTACTATATGTCTATAAAAAATCACGTTGATCAAATATCATTAACTATATGATCAAATCAGTTTTGTATAAACAAAACGGATAGTGTGATAGTTAACTGTTGAAAAAAAATTAATCCGATCATATAGCTATCGATATCTGGTCAACGTGATTTTTTATAATCATATAATATTCGACGAGTTGTACATATTGAACGGTTCAGATTATTAAAATGGGACCCATGGTGGCTCCCACAGACCAACCATCGCTATTCAAACATTTTGCCCTAAAGGAGGCAATAATTTACTGCGTAAGACAGGTTTCCCCCAACAGGGTGTCGTACAACCTACTTAACTTTCTTCCCCTATACATTTTATTTATATAATTTTTTATTACACATTTTTTCGTAAAATGATAAAAAATTAAGGGAGACTTATTTATAAGTCATTTATAAGTGTCTAAAAAATGACACTTATAATAGGCTAAGTTCTGTGTAATTTCTTATAGAGTCTCAAGTCCTATTTAGATGAGAATGTATTCCACAAGATCTTACATAAACATAACGTGACGTGACACTTACATAAACGTAACGTAACGTAACACTTACATAAACATAATGTAACGTGACACCTATATAAACGTAACGTAACGTAACGTGTCACGTTACATTTCGCAAACTTAATGAGTTTTTAATTTTTTAAATTGAATATGAAAATGTTACTGGTTTATGTTGGTGTCATGTTACGTTTCATATAAATATGATCTATGGTAACATTCAATTTCCTATATAAGAAATTGAATGTTGCCATAGATCATAGGTGTCACGTTACATTACGTTTATGTAGATATGATCTATGGTAACATTTAATTTTTTATATAGGAAATTGAATGTTGCCATAGATTATAGGTGTCACGTTACGCTTATGTAAGTGTCACGTTACGTTACGTTTATGTAGATATGATCTATTTCTATGTTACCATAAATCATAGGTGTCACATTACGTTTATGTAGGTGTCACGTTACGTTTATATATACATGATCTATAGTAACATTCAATTTTCTATATATGGTTTTATTATTATTTATGATATTAACAACTAATATTGAGAGTAAATGTGTCAACAAACTTTCTACAGGACTTATGGGAACATAAGTTTTTTAGTAAGATCATATGTAGCATAAGTCTCTCTAATAAGACTTATAAATAATTTTTCAAAAATGAATTCAAGTATCATATGCTGTTCTCAACTTTTTAATTTAAAAAAATAAAAAATATACTTATTTGGAGACTACTGAAAAAAAGTAAAGGAAAAAAATGGACAAGTTAGAAGGAAAAAGAAAAAAAAAAAGAAAAAGAAAAAGGAGTAAAGACTAAGGACAATGAAGAATAAAAATATATTTTTTTAATTCAAAATATTTACCGAGGACAAACTAACAAACAACAGAAATTCATCAGCAGTGTTACGAGAACTGTTCCAAAAAAAAAAGTCCTACGAGAAACTTCCAAACCAGAAACCAGTCCCCCAATCCAACATCTTTTTACCCCCCATTTTCACACCTTCCCTCTCTCGCTCTCTCTCTCTTCTGTTGGTGTTCATCCTCCCCTGCTTCGTCTTTCTCTTCCTCCCTTCTACTTTATTATTAAATATTATCACACTCCAATCACTTTTATCCCCCCTTCACAGAAACCGCGTTTCTCCTTCACTTTCTCGTGGGTCCCCCCCTCTCTCTCTCTCTCCCTCTTCTATAAAGAAATTTGTAAACAATACCAACATCTCTATAAAGAAATTTGTTCCCTTTTTAAACAAACCCACACAAAGAAAGAGTTCACCCACAATACCAAAGCTTCATCCATGGCGGAGAACGGTGAAGAGAAGCTCATTCAGATGGCTCGTCATATCGCCAAGACTCTCGGTCATACTGACACTATGGCCGACGATATTCTTCAGATTTTCTCCAATTTCGATGGCAGGTTTCGTGAAAAGCTGGTTGAGAAGTTGAGTGATGAAGACCCAAGATCTCTGGAACAGAATCTCAAGGCTCTCGACCGTCGAATCTCTCCTTACGTGTCTGCTGACCATCCGATCTGGTCTGACTCCGCCGACGCTTCTTCTTTCCTCGACGCCGTCGACGAGTTGGTGTCGGCCATCCGAGAATGGACCCCCATGGCCGGAGATAAACCCGTCGCCGCCTGTCTCCACCGCGCCGACGATTTGCTCCAGCAATCGATGTTCCGGCTGGAGGACGAGTTCAGGCTGTTGATGGACCGAGGCTGCGAGTCCTTCGATCTGACTCGGTTCCAGAACGGTGAGTCGGCTGCGAATTACGCGTTCGAATCGGAGGACGATGAAGAAGACGAGGACGGTGAAATGATCGGCGAGGAAAATCAGATCCCGGTGTACTGCTGTGAACCTGTTTACACGGTGGAAATGTGTATGACTGGTTTGGATGAAGTCACTAGTGGAGCAGACGTGTTTGCTTGGTGTGAAGGGCTATTGCCTCGAAGATGTGAGCTACGTACAGTAGTTGTAGAAGAGAGTTTCTCGAGGAGAGCTTGTCGAGGCTAGGGTTACAGAAACTGAGCATCGAAGAGGTTCATAAGATGCCTTGGTCTGATCTCGAAGACGAGATCGATCGATGGACCAAGGCCGCCAACGTAGCCCTAAGGATCCTCTTCCCCAGCGAGCGCCGCCTCTGCGATCGCGTCTTCTTCGGCTTCTCCTCCGCTGCGGATCTCTCTTTCATGGAGGTCTGTAGGGGATCGATGATCCAGCTCTTGAGTTTCGCTGATGCGATCGCGATTGGAAGCAGAGCTCCGGAGCGATTGTTTAAAGTTCTCGATGTATTCGAAACGCTTCGCGATCTAATGCCTGAATTCGAAGCTGTGTTCTCCGATCAGTATTGTGTGTTCCTCAGAAACGAAGCGATTACGATCTGGAAAAGATTGGGAGAATCAATTAAGGGGATATTCATGGAATTAGAGAACTTAATCCGCCGAGATCCGGCCAAATCGGCGGTTCCCGGCGGCGGACTCCACCCGATCACTCGATACGTGATGAACTACCTCCGGGCAGCCTGCCGGTCACGGCAAACCCTAGAACAAGTCTTTGAGGAAATCATGGCTCCGCCCAGTGGCGGTGATCGATCATTGCCTTCGTCTCCTTTATCGGTTCAAATGGCTTGGATTATGGAGCTATTAGAGAGTAATTTAGAGTCTAAGTCGAAGATTTACAGGGATGTTGCTTTGAGTTCTGTTTTTTTGATGAACAATGGAAGATACATTGTTCAAAAGGTTGAAGACAATGAATTGGGTTCTCTGTTAGGCGACGATTGGATCCGAAAACGCAAGGTTAAGGTCAAGCAACATCATGGGAGTTACCACAGAAGTTCATGGAATAAGGTTGTAGCAGTGTTGAAACTTGATAACAACTATTTGGCCTCTAATGGTGCATCAAAAGCTTTGAAAGATAAGCTCAAATCATTCAACACGTACTTTGATGAAACATGTAAAACTCAGTCCAATTGGGTCATCTTCGATGAGCAGCTCAGGGAGGAGATGAAGATTTCGATTGTGGAAAATTTGTTACCGGCATATCGGAGCTTCTTGGGAAAGTTCCATAATCTTCAGGACATCGGGAAGCACGAGAAGCACATTAGGTACAGCGTGGAGGAGCTTCAGGCTCGGATTGATGAGCTGTTTCAAGGAAGCGCTGGATCGGCTGGTGGCAGCAGAAAGTGAAAGGTGAAGCAAGTAAGCTTTGCTGATTTGGTTGTGGTGTTGTATCATGTCATGTATGCTTCTTGTTGGAGCCTGTAGAAGCAAGCTCTGTTGTATGTAAATTGTAGTGTTTTTGTTTCCTTGCCCTCTGTAGTCATTATTAATCTATGTTAAGCACACAATTAATCAACGAAAAAATGCTACTTAATTATGAATTTTAGCTTTTTTTTGAATTGCTTGGGATTTACGTGGGTATGTGCATGCCTTTGCTTCCATTGTTACATTGTACCAGTATCTCTCAAAATTTTGAATACAAAATTGGATATTTTGGTTGCTGAATTCAACTTGAATAGATTCCATGAACCTTGATCTCTCGATGCTACTTTCAAGTACCAAAATACTGCTAGTGAGTTCAGAATATGGAATGTGAACACATTCTTCTATTTATTAACATTAACATCTGTTGCTTTTCTATTCTAATTGCTCTGCTATTATCAGAAGATGTTCTTGAGTTCTCACTGAGCAATTGTCAAAATGCTAAATTTGCTATTATCCGTTGGCATTTCCTTTTGGGAACTTCCAGATGAGGATGAAAATAAATTCAATAATGTTTCGTAGCTTGATTTTTAGTGGCTCGAGTGGCCCGACTTTTCATTTTTCAACCTCTCTCTCCCTTTCTCTCCTTCCTCTGTTTCTTCTCTTCTTCTCCTTCTACAACTCTTCACTGTCTTTCTCCACCAATTCCCTCTTCCTGTTGTCCAAATCTTCTGCAGATATGCCTATATATATATATATATTGTATACAAGTGTGGTGTTGTGGGTTGTGTAGAGTTGCAAATGGCAACCTCACAGACAGTGACTTGAGAACCCACCAAGCCTGAGCTCAATATGTGGATCAGGGAATCTCCAAGAGATTGGAGGGCTTAAGACCTATGTCACTGGTCCCCAAGATTCCAAGCTTGCAATCCTTCTCATTTCTGATGTTTTTGGTAACTGCCCATCTCCATTTCTTCATCAATCTTTGTTACTTTTGTGTTCAATTTCTCAAACCCAAATCTGGGAAAGCTAACAAATCAAACCCAAAAATCTGAAAAAAGAAATCAAACCCAAATCAGTCAAACCTAAAATTCAAAAATCAAAACCAATCAGCCACAAACCAAATCAAACAAAATCAATCAAATCCAAAACAGAGGGGGAAGAGAAGGAGCTTGTCGTGGACTCTGACGGTGATCCAGATTGTGGGTGTTGGAGAAGGAGGAGGCTTTTGGAGTGAAGAAGAGAGAGAGAGAGAGCCAAATAAAAAATCTGTCTTCTCCTTCTCTTCTTCTGTCTCCTTCTGTCTGTTCAGAGACAAAAAAAAAAAAAAAAATACCAAAACGATGCCGTTTTGGTAGTCGAGTCATTCGGGCCATCAATGTTTCGAGCTACGAAACATTATTGAAATAAATTAGTCACAATGTATTGTTAGTTTGTAAGGGGGGTACATTGAATGCTTGTTATTTTCCTGTTCTAGCAGGATGCTGAATGATGTACTCTAGTAGGATGATATGTATACTGTTCTGAGTAGAGACTGGATATTGTGATTTGGTTGTTCAAAAGCATTTCTAAAATAGTAATTCTGGTGCAATGTTATAGGAAATTGCTAAAAAAGGTGCACTTGACCTGTCTATTCTTCTCAATTCTCATAGTGCCTACCAATTTTCCTTGTGTTTTTCTAGTTTAGTTTATGTTAGTGTTTCTCAACCATCAATAGCGACAGCGAAAGTTTGCGATGGTATTTTAGTCTTAAAAATTTCTGTTGTGTGAGTTTTGTGACCTAGATGTACTGTTCCTGTAATATGTTACTGATATGGAGATGTGAAGGGAATTTAGAGGTATTACGTGCCCATATCTTGAAAGTGTCGAGGATTTGGATTGGAGGATATCTAACTGAGCCAAACCCCATTGCTAGTGTAGTTAGGTTGGGGATGCAGTAGATGATTGATGTAGTTAGCTTGGGGTTGTGGTAGAGGGAAGGGATAAAAGCATTTGTTGGGATTTCCTAGTCTATTGCATTCTTGGGTGGGGTATTCACTTGAATCGCCAAAGGCAGGAAGGGCAGTGAAGTTAGGCAAGTTGGAGTCCTTGCATCTGTTGGTATTCAGGATTCGAACTTGAATTACGAGGACAAAGAAGAGGAGGGTTGGCGCCATTGTCAAGATAGATAGATCCTTTCAATGAGATCAGGTTCTATAATTTATGTAGTGAGAGTCCAGTTTTTATAATCTATTTAATAAGATGAGAATTTGCATATTTGTAATTTGCAGTAGTCAGAGAGCCATCAAGAGGTCGAAGATGAGACATTTGAAGTTGTTTTATAGGAAAGGCAAAGAGAGAAGGTTCAAGATTTGGATTGCTTCTTTCAATTCAGTTCTTACTACTTTCCAGTTGTTCAATTACTGTTCATGTATTCTTACTGACATTTGCTTTTGGGATTAATTGAAAGTTTCAAAATTGAATGTGGGTTTTTTCTTTTGATGCACTGATTTTTTTACTATGATGGAAATCAGTTCACAGTGGGTGCAGCCAAGTATATATATACATATGTGTGTGTGTTTAGCTTGGTAAGACCAAAAAAGCTTTTTATTGTGTAATAGAGGGATATGGTGCATCAAGTGGTGGTTGGAAGTGAAGCCAGGGGATTTTGATTATTTTGTGTTGCTAGTGCTCTGTTTTTCAACACCAGTGGGTATAGTTTGGACTTCCTATGATTTGCAGCCTTGGTATTCATCACTATTTAACAGTTATTATATTGCAGATTTCAACCGAAACAATCTCGGATGCTACCAAATTTTTTGTAGGCCCCATTTATTTTGGGAGATAGAGGTGAAAATGGGATTGAGGTAGCGGTGAGACCTATTATATGTTGTGTTTGTTTTGGGAGATGGTGTGGTGATTCATAATCCCATAGGATTAGGATGGACCTTGGTGTTGGGATTGGAATGGAGGAAGTGGAGGTGGTATTAGGAAATTAGTCATCCGGTTTAGGTTTTTTTTTTTTTAGTACATGGTCATTTTTTTTAACATTAATGTTTTTGTATTTTTTGTTGAGTAAAAATTAAACAATTTTCATATTAACAATTATTATTAAAATAAATATAATTTTACTTAATATCTTTATTAATAATTTTCTTATTATTAATTCTTTTAATTCTATCTTTGAAAACAGACGAACAGTAGATACACGAATTTCGTTCATTTGAAATGGCAAGGGATTGTGTGAACCGAGCATATATATTCAACAAAATTTTCAAAATTAATAGTGCTAATTGACATCCTTGATTATGGTTACAATTGGCGGAACAATTTGACATTTACCAACTGATTTGGAGAGCCGGTCGTATATTATCAAACAGCAATGCTACAGACCCCCAGTTGGGGTGACCCCCAGTGACCCCCCAGTGCCACGTGTCGGCCTGGGGTTGGTTGAAAACTCAAACAAAAAAAAAAAAAAAAAAATTTGTTTTTTTGGACCAATGGGAGAGGACCCCCAGTACCCCCACTGGGGGTCCAAATAATCAAATCTTTCCAATCCAGTTACAGAGCCGAAAGTCCACAGAAAACAACGCTTTCAAAAGCAAAAACATATTTTTGAGGTTTGGTTTTATTTTTATTTTTAATGGTCAATTAAGTTTATTCGTGCGGAAACTCTTTTGAAATCTGAGAAACTTCGAGGTAGGTCAAACATTTTTCATACTAGAGATTTGTAGGGTCTCTAAATTTCAGTGATAATATATTTTTTGTCAAATTAATTTTTAAAATTGATATAATAAATAAAAAAATATGAACAAAATTTATCAATTTGATAAAATAAATAAATAAATAAATATCTAAAAAATTTATCAATTGTATATAATTTTATATTGGTAGGTACAAATTAGTTTTAAAATTTTAAAAATATTTTTTTGAAATTTATTTTTATCAAATTAGTTTATATTTTATCAAATTGACGACTTTGCCCTTTCAATTGAGTCAAAATTCAAAATTCAGGGTTAAATGTGTCACACGAGGTAGGTCAAACATTTTTCATACTAGAGATTTGTAGGGTCTCTAAATTTCAGTGATAATATATTTTTTGTCAAATTAATTTTTAAAATTGATATAATAAATAAATAAATATGTACAAAATTTATCAATTTGATAAAATAAATAAATAAATAAATATCTAAAAAATTTATCAATTGTATATAATTTTATATTGGTAGGTACAAATTAGTTTTAAAATTTTAAAAATATTTTTTTGAAATTTATTTTTATCAAATTAGTTTATATTTTATCAAATTGACGATTTTGCCCTTTCAATTGAGTCAAGATTCAAAATTCAGGGTTAAATGTGTCACAACATTAGGGACCAAAGTGATACGAGTCTCAAATTATAGGAACTGTTAATGTAATTTGCCGTTTCATTTATAACTAAAATGACTATTATAAATTATAACCAAACACCATATTTTCAGTCATAACTAAAAATAATAATCATAATAGGTTATATCTAACATCAAAATTAGTCATAACTAAACATTGCTTGATGCTTAACTAAAGATTTTTTTTAATCATAACCAAAATAATAACCACAATAAATTATAACTAACGTCACAATGTGTCATAACTAAAAACTACAAAGATTATTATTGCGGCATAGATGAAAACGTTTTTTGCAGTGTGCTTTATAGAATTTCCGTACTAAAATATATTATTTCTATCTAACTTATCTATTTTAGTTACTCTCTAATATTTAAAATCCTTTAATTTAAAATTCATATTTGTCCAAATGGATTTTGAATATTTAAGTTTAATAATATTTTATTATTATTTATTATGAAATTTTGTCATTAAATTGTGCCCCTTTCCTTGCATTTCTGGCTCTGTCACGGGGCAAACCCACATTAGTTTCAAAGTCAGAAAACAAAGAAAGGAAAAGCTTAAAAAGAGATTCATTTAAACTGCAAGCATCAATATATGCTCAAGGACGTTTTACTAACTCAGCCACCAAACATGAAACGGACTGCAAAGCAAAAAATATATATATATGAAACAGACTGTGATTCACACAAAGAAACCATTGGACAATTCATGCCGACGATGAATCTAAATTTCACAGTTGGAAGGAAGGTGTTGGGGGGTCGGGTGGGGTGTGTGTGTGTGTGTGTTAGTCTAGTGCTTTAATCGGCTGCCTTCAATCTCACAAGAACTGGGGAAGAGCTTGCTTCTGTAGAGACTGAGCGACATGTCGGTAGGTTGCTTCAGTAGGATGAGCTGCATCGAAGAACACAAACTTATCAGGGTTCGGACACACTGGTGTTGAAATACTGCAGAAAGGCCCTGTTTCCACAAATCCAGTTGCACAACATCCTCTGTCAACTACCTCAAAACCTGTTAAAAACAACCACCACCCACATGATTATTAGTACTGAATGATGAATCAATTTTTCGATATACGAGGATTTTTGAGGTTTTACCATAGTTTAGGGGATTTTTCACCATATCATAAAGAGGGGTGTAGATATCACCATAGACAAGTTTGGTGCCAGGAAGAGAGGGCTGTAACTGAGCCAAGCGAGCAACAAGCTTTTGATTGTAAGATTCAGAATCAGAATTCTCATTCTCCACACATGATCTGTCAATCCTGAATTTGGCACTGATTTCACCTGGAAAACATCCAATTGGAGGTAGCCCAAATATGATCATATTACGCAACCCTTGACCGTACAGTTCCTGCACTTTTACAAAATAGTCACAATATTAAAAAGAAGGAAATGCTCGATTAATCCATAAATTACATTATTTTATAATAAATTTCACTCAAAGTTCTTCAATCTTCTCAAGTTTCTTATCCTATTGAAAGATTTTATGAATTGTTTTTCCCAAAACATCATGTGAGTGAGTTCAATCTTCTTATGAACCTACTCGGTCCCGCCAACAAGCAGGTATTAAAAATAGTCAAAGCGGAACACAATCTGTCAGAGAACCAATTTACATGAAATATAGGTGCAGTAACTCTATATATGTATGACCAGAATCTTTATTTATTTATTTATTTTTTGAATCTTTAAGTTTGGATTTTGTAAATTTTTTCCTAACCAAGGTTATGCTCTTTTTACTGGTTTATTTATAGTGTTTAATGACAAAATTGATAAAATAGAAAAAATTAGATACTAATTTAAGAAAAGTTTCAATTTTGTAAATTCTCTCATAAAAAATTGATAAACTTTTAAGAAAAGTATGTCAACAATTTATTGATTCAAAATAATGGATCTCATATTCAAAAAGTGTATTGACCTCACCTAAAAGTGTAGACTCTATTATTTTTTCCAATCAAAAAATGTGTATTATTCACCCATTTTTTGAGCGTGTGAATGAAATTAGACTCTAAATTCTATTATAGGTATAAATTTTTTATATAAAAAAATCCTACAATATTTCATCTTCCAAAATTTTCAGTGCAGTCCTGCTAAAAATAAATTGAAAACTTCCAATATTTGCTAAAATTTCTATTTGATGACATTCACGTTAAAAAAGTAGAATAAATCTAGCATTGCCAAATCGATAACAAAATCCAACATAGAATGTTCTGTAGATGGATAGGATTTGACCAACAAATTAAGGAAAATATTACAATAATATTCTATAAATGCCACTTTACTCTTCCGAATTTATCCCAAATAAAAATGTGCAGATGAGATTAAATTTGTGTAATATAAGATTTATGTATAAAATACATATGAATCACAACATGATAATTCTAAAAAAATTCAAATAATACTGAAATTTTTTTGATTAGTTAAATCTGACGTGTTTGATTTGTAACCGTCTTGTTATATCAAAAATTTAATCACGGCCCATATTTAAAACGTGCAAAGCTGACAAAAAAAGAATGTTATAACCAACCATGCAAGAGATCTAGAGAGAGAGAGAGAGAGATGGAGGAAGGGATGGGAGGTTGAACCTGAACAAAGGTTTGAAGCCTACTTAGAAGAAAATCATGATAAGCACCAATGAAGAGACCAGGCCTATTTGGGGAATCATAGAAACTGACAGTAACGTCGTTACTTCCCGAACTAACCACAACCAAAGCATCGTTCAAATTACGGTTAGCTTGTACTGCTCCCACAAACGAACGAAGCCTCGTTATATACATCCTCAAGTAATCCACCTGCCTCAACACCGGAATTATCCCCGCTGCCGCATTCGTCGTATCATCGTATCCCGATCCAGCCGAAGCAAAACAAACACCTGTTACGATGTCCTCGTTCGACAATCCCAGTTCCAGGAATGATGGAACTGTGTATTTTATTCCTAGGTGTGAGGCCAACATGTCCGACATTAGTCTTCCATTCGAAAACCTCCCTGTCGGGACTCGTCTCGGGAAATTTTCCCCGTAGGGCGCGTGGTCGGCTCTGACACCAGTTGGAAGGAAGGTGTTAGTGCCCGTGTCGAGCAGTGAGTCACCGAAGATGAAAATGGCGGGGATTTTCCCTCCAGTTCCGGTTGTGGCGTTGGTGGTGTTGGCCGCGACAGTGGTGGAGATGGTGGTGGTGCAAAGTTGCACTAGGAGGGTCAAAAAGATGATTTTTGTTGTTGGTGGTGGTGCCATTTTAGCTCTTCAATGTCTTTTACTGTTAGAGTGTGATTTTACAGTGAATTCAGATCCTCTATATATAGTTTTTTTTTTTTTTTTTGACTTTTAATGTTTCCATTAATTCACACTTGATGACATGGATTACAGTAGGATCACATAAAGGCAGAATCAAAGCCAGATATTTCACAAAGATAAGGTGTTGTGTTTGGTCATTTTTCTATAGATACGTGTGTGTCTATTGTCTATTGTGTTGTGTTTGGGATGTGCAGTTAGTCTCGCCCCTTTGTAATACATGTGTGTTTATTGTGTTGTGTTTGGTCATTTTTCTATAGATACGTGTGTGTCTATTGTCTATTGTGTTGTGTTTGGGATGTGCAGTTAGTCTCGCCCCTTTGTAATACATGTGTGTTTATTGTGTTGTGTTTGGTCATTTTTCTATAGATACGTGTGTGTCTATTGTCTATTGTGTTGTGTTTGGGATGTGCAGTTAGTCTCGCCCCTTTGTAATACATGTGTGTTTATTGTGTTGTGTTTGGTCATTTTTCTATAGATACGTGTGTGTCTATTGTCTATTGTGTTGTGTTTGGGATGTGCAGTTAGTCTCGCCCCTTTGTAATACATGTGTGTTTATTGTGTTGTGTTTGGTCATTTTTCTATAGATACGTGTGTGTCTATTGTCTATTGTGTTGTGTTTGGGATGTGCAGTTAGTCTCGCCCCTTTGTAATACATGTGTGTTTATTGTGTTGTGTTTGGTCATTTTTCTATAGATACGTGTGTGTCTATTGTCTATTGTGTTGTGTTTGGGATGTGCAGTTAGTCTCGCCCCTTTGTAATACATGTGTGTTTATTGTGTTGTGTTTGGTCATTTTTCTATAGATACGTGTGTGTCTATTGTCTATTGTGTTGTGTTTGGGATGTGCAGTTAGTCTCGCCCCTTTGTAATACATGTGTGTTTATTGTGTTGTGTTTGGTCATTTTTCTATAGATACGTGTGTGTCTATTGTCTATTGTGTTGTGTTTGGGATGTGCAGTTAGTCTCGCCCCTTTGTAATACATGTGTGTTTATTGTGTTGTGTTTGGTCATTTTTCTATAGATACGTGTGTGTCTATTGTCTATTGTGTTGTGTTTGGGATGTGCAGTTAGTCTCGCCCCTTTGTAATACATGTGTGTTTATTGTGTTGTGCTTGGTCATTTTTCTATAGATAATAATGTTTGGAGTATGTTATTTACGTTAAAAAAATTAATTTATTTTCAAATCCAATAATATTACACTCTATTAAAGAATTTAAGGTAATAATATCTCCTATATTTTTTTTATTCATCAACCAATCATCTCATATACACATCATTAAGTGTAAAAAATAAATCTATAAGGTGGATTTGTATATTATTTTTCAAATATTAAATTTAATTTTTTTAACATAGTCAATTTCTAACATGGACAAGAATGCTCTATCCGTCTTAAAATATTAGTCCATTTTGAATAATTCAATTTTTTTTAATAGTACAATTATTACAATTGAAAAATATTAACTTTTTAAAATTACCTTCTGATAGTATAATTATTACACTTTAAAAATATTAATATTATTGAATTTAAAAAAAAGATTAAATAGAAAATTTATATTATTTTTGTCTTCTATTTAAAAAATAAAAACTAATATTTTAAAATAATGAAAAATAAAATAAGAAATTAATAATTTAAGACAGATAGAGTATTAATATTTTGTCTTAATATGACCGTCAATAGCCATAAAAGTAACCTAAAAGAAGAAGCTATAATAGTTAACAAATTCAATTATAAAAATAAAATATAAGAATCATTCTGAAATAAAATTAAATGTAATATTGACAATCGGATCCTAATCATTAACCATTACCTCAGTTGACCAATCTGTATTAATTTAATTTATTTTTTAAATGGCATTTTGGCAACTTTCAATCAAGAATAAAACTATACGCATTAGTTGGTATATTAATTAATGTATTAATAAACAATGTGATATAATTTTAAAATTTTTTAAGTTTTTATAATTTGTATAATGGGTGAGATTCATAATTTTAAAGTGACAATATTATAACATATGTTGATACATTAATTAATATTGGTGCATATAGCACCACTGAATTCAAATTCACTCTCTGAATCTGTTTATTTTGGATTATAAGAGATGGGATTGGATTATGATGGATGTGGAATCCACTAATATTGTGTTTGTTTGTAAAATAGGGAAGGTGAGTTATAATACCTTGGGCCTATGATAGGCATCCATGGATGAGATTAGTAATTCACTATGGGAGATGGTATTATAAAAACAATCCCTTGGGATTAGAGGAGGATTTACTATCTTGCCCTCTATTATCCTACCTAATTTACTTACTCTACTTGATTAGTATAGTATTTTCTCTATCATTTTTTTTTTATAATTATTCCACCATTCTTTATATCAAAATAATTTAATATAAAAATAATTTTTAATGTAAAAATATTATAATATAATAATATTTATACCAAAAAAATTATATTAAGAAAATAAAATATTACCAAAAAATACATATTTATGAAATATAATTTTAATATTTATAAAATATATTTTTAATATTAAAATATGTAATGCATTTATTAGTTGGTATAAGCCTAAATTTGATAATAATGCAACAAGGATATTTGTGAAATTTTACATGGTTAATCCCACTCCTATCTCTCAAAACAAAAAGGAATTATTGCTAATTCACTGGTTATCAAATAAACACAAATTTTCTGAATCCCTTCACTAAAAATTCCTCACTAATAATCTGCTCACTAACAATCCTACCCAACCAACTGTTGGAAATGGTTAATTTTTTCTCAAGTTTGGTCTATTTTTTAGGTGGGCCCCGAGTGTCGATTTACTCGGGTCAAAGTGGTAACGCGTTCTATGCCGCGTTGTGATTCACGTGGTATATTTGGTTGCTCAAAACCATTACCGAGTGAATGGGAAATTGAAGCCAAAGTGTGCTCCATGGAAATGAAGTTTTGGTGGAAATTCCTTAAGGTTGTAAATTGGCTTGTCCCACATTGATTTGGTGGGAAGTTTTGAAAGGGTTTATAAGGCTTAGGGTGAGATACTTGGGGTGTGCCCCAAGGGGTACCCAAGTGTTTTAGAGGGAGAGGTTATGGGCAAAATGGGCTAGACCCATTGGACCCAAAAATCACCACACCGCACGCGTCGCCGCCGCCGTCTGTCCGGGCAGGCTGGGCTGGGCTTGGGCGCGGGTGCGGGTGCGTGGTGTGTGGTTGGGTTGGGCTTAATTTGATCATGCAATGCTTACTGCCCTTCCCGTGTTCAAACAGAATTAAACTGTTTTGGATTTATTAC